ATTGTATCGTACACCGGGAGGCGGGCGGGGGGGGGGGCTAGGAAGACGGGGTCCGAGAGCTAGTGCTCGGTCCAACAGACACAAAAAGATGAGCAGGCACACACACACACACACACACACACACACACACACACACCTGTTGATTGACGGTTGAAAGGCGGGACCAAAGAGCCAGAGCTCAACCCCCGCAAGCACAACTAGGTGAGTACACGTGTGTAGCATCCTTCAAGACATCTAAGCTGTCTTTGGCAAAGATCAAAGCAAAGTTTGAAGATGGAATAGCTATTTGTCATACTTTAGAGCCATAAGCAATTAGAAAATAGTATTACCACTGACAAAAATATAAATATAAATTTATTACATTGTAATCCTTAGCAGCATGTAGTTTCGTAGTGTCGTGTCTACAGCAGTTTCTTGTAAACTTGAACAGGTCGGTAGAGTGACAGCCTTACTTCCTGCTGGTTGGCGTTCAAGCCCCAATGGTTAGGCACCATCCCTTTCCTTCATTCTGTCCAAGCTTCTTGTCCTTACGTCCATCCCAAGTGATATATAGTCGTACTGGCTTAATACTTTCCCCTGATAATTACTTTACCATCTCCCCTCACGCCGGCCCCATGAGTAACTATATGTTGACTCAGCCACAACTGTAATAATTTATATAAATCACTGACTAATAAAACTTCTAAATCAAAATAACTTCCTTTTTTGCCAGATTGGGTCTATTCAAACTATAAATGTTTCGGATAGTTGTATTAAGTTTCAGGGTAACTTTGATAAAGGTCACTTTCAGCTATTATAAAATGTTTAGAAATAAAACGTGTCATGAATTGTCATATCTGAGAACTGATAAAATATGTAGTTACAAAAGATATTTCTGCTGCTGTGAAACGAAGACCTTTAAATATTCATTGTTATTCGATTTTGTTTACTTGAGTGTAAACATCGGCGCTGTGAGGCGACACACCATTATCCCGCCCGCCCGCGCGCATACACAAAGGAGGAACTGGATGACAAACGAGAGGGCTTCATAATGGCCATAAGAGAGATTGTAGTAATGGCAGATAGAGATAAGTCACGATTGTTGGTACAGAGGGACTTTAACTTTAAGGCAATAGACTGGGAGGCCTACGAGGCAAGAACGGAGGACATTTGGACAGCCAGATTTGTAAACCTCATCTTGGAGACATTCTTGTATCAACACGTCAAGCAGGCCACAAGAATGAGGGAAGGGGATGTTTCGTCAGTATTGGATCTAATATTTACCAGAAATGAAGAGATATTTGACAGCCTGTACGTTCCTCCCTTGGGAAAGAGTGAAAATAGAAAGATAAAAAAGACCACACACAATTTACAAATTTTGTGGAAAGGAATTACAGAACTTTAATAAATGTAGGAGACCTAGGGGTGGTTTTGGATAGTAAGCTGTCGTTAGAGGAACACTTAAGGAACATTGTGAGAGGAGCGTATGCGTCGCTTTCCAACTTGACTTGCTTTTAATTATATGGATGGTGAAATACTAAAGTAACTGTTCATGACTTCTGTGAGACCAAAACTGGAATATACAGCAGTTGTATGGTGCCCATATCTCAAGAAGCACATAAATAAACTGGGAAAAGTGCAACTGCAAGCTATAAAATGCCTTCCAGGAGTGAAAAAACAAAAATTACGAGACTAGAGGCGCTAAACATGCCGAAACTAGAAGATAGAAGTGAGTTGATATGACCACCACTTACAAAATACGAACAGAAATAGACCGAAGTAACAAAGAGGAATTCCAGAGTAACAAAGAGGAACACACACACACACACACACACACACACACACACACACACACACACACACACACACACACACACACACACACACACACACACACACACACACCCTGTCCTAGCACATAATTAACTCGTATTTAACTCTATTTAATATAAATTATTTAATATAACACCAAAACGCGGGCAAAAGAAATACTGAAATTATTTTGATGTCGTACCTATTAAACTACCTCGCATGAAAGCAAAATATTTTGCTTTTCAGAGAAACAATATAATTGTCATTTTGCCTCCTCCAAGAAAACATCTCCCAGGCGTGTATATATCTGGTCGACTGGAAGGTTGTATACAAAATATATCTCTTCTCAAAATCTGCAGTTTTCACTATACTGAAACATTGTCAGGAATTGTTAGGAAATATGAATATCCATTACATTTAATGTGAACGAGAAAAAATTATAACATGTTTTTAAAATGTGATTAACATTCTGAATAGTTTTCTTTTGATTGTTGGAGGAAGGTTGCTGCTGCCTCTTAACATTCATTATGGTAATGGTTTTTATGTTAATTTTTTAAATATTCATTTTCTTACCTGAAAAACTACACACGAGGTTTTAAACCTATTAATTGATCTTATTCGCTTACATCAATGTATGTGGCTCCGTTCACACCTTTAAAAGTTGCCACCTTCAACGTTCGTAGTGGCACTCATCCGGTGTTGTGCTCAGCATCTTAAGCGGGACGGTAGAGCGAGTCTCGCTTCATGCAGGTCGGCGTTCAATCCCCGACCATGTCCAAATGGTTGGGCACCATTCCTCCCCCCCCCCCCGGTCCCATCTCAAATCCTTATCCTGATCCCTTCCAAGTGCTATATTGTCTCAATGACTTGGCGCTTTCTCCTGATAATTCCATCCCATTCACCCGGTGTTGGTGGTACAGGTGTGGATGGTGTTCGTGTTCCACGCGACGTCCGGGGTGTGTACGGGGGTGGTGGTGGTGGTGGCGCAGGTGTACGTGGCAGAGATCTCCGTGCCAAGGATACGTGGCGCCATGTCTACTGCACCTCTTCTTGCCTTCCAGGTGAGTGAACCTTTGCTCTGTCCACCGGGCCGTGTCTTAACCATCTTCAGGGGTTTGTCAAATCATACACATTTCATTATGAATGTGTATTGAATTTTACGCGAACTGATGTTCTTATTTAGTTCTTATTTAGGGTTTCGAAGGCCATTTGAATAGGGTCTGGATAACTTTGCATATATGCAGACGAGTCACAATATTGTGGCTGAAGAGTTGACACCACAAGCCTATGCACAGTGGTGTGTACATTCACTTCTTTTCCTACCATCCTCCTTCTGTTGAGAAAAGTGTTCTTGTCTCCCTCTTCCTCCGGGCCCTACGCATCACTGACTCTCAACTTCTTGATTCTGAAAGTTCTCTTAATTAGAAGTCTTTCTCTGGCCTTGGTTACCCCTTACATTTTATCAGCTGTGCCTATTCTCCAGCTAAAATAAATTTCTATCATCCCAAACCTGTTTCCAACAATTGTAACACTGTGTTGTTGTGCCTTCCCTTCATATATGAACTTAAAAATCTCATTAATACTCTTCGTCCTCTTGATATTAAACTCGCCTTTCGACAAACTAACACAGTTCGTAATAATCTGGTTCACACTGCTCCTCCTGCTTCCAATACTGCTGGTGTCTACTCTATTTCCTGTTCGTGTTATCCTCTCCAATACTTTGGTGAAACTGGCCGTACACTTAATGACAGACCAAGAAAACACAAAAGAAGTGTTAAGTCTGCGGACACATAGAGTGCTCTCTTCTGTCATGTTAGGCACTCTAATCATTTTATAGATTAGTCTTCATCTAAGATAATCTTTCCTGCCTCTACTCTTCACAGACGCCGTCTTGTCGAATGGGCTCTGATACACAACCTACTATTTCAATGCTCTAACCTTCTTAACAAACGTGACATGACTTAGCGTTAGCCCCTCTAGGCTCTCTTTCTTTTGTCTCTTATGTTACTAGATTTTTTTCATCTTCGCCATTTGGCCTCCTGTATTATATTTATTATCACCTTTCTATTTTTCTAACTTTGTCTTATACCCTAATCCTATTATTTTCCTTTTTTCTTCCCTTCTAACCTTTCCTATACTTTACCTGATTCTCTTAATTCTTACCTTTATTCTTACTTTCGTCGCTCTCTTTCCTTTATCTCGCCTTTCATCTAACACTCTTACCCTAAATTATTTCTCTTCAACGACTTAATAATGCTTCAAGGCGGGCCGAAACGTCCCCAGTTCTTCATTTACGGATGTGTGGGTTAGGTGTCAACTTTGTATATAATTGTGTTTTGCCTAACCTGTTTTAAATTACCATCATTGTATTAACAACATGTGATTTTGTAACCATTTAATATGAAATAACTCAAGTTACATTTCATCATCTTTGCAGACGGGTTCCCTATTGTGTTTTATGCTGGGGGAGATTCTGGTGTGGAAGAACCTGGCCATCGTTGGAGTCTGCGTGACCGCGCCGGTATTCGTCGCTCTCGTCCTGTGCATGCCAGAGTCCCCGAGGTTCCTCATACACGTCCACCCGAACGACGCATTGGCGACCCTTCAGTGGCTGCGGGGCATCGAGAACGACGTGATGGAAGAGTACCACGACATCTCCGACAGCTGCGACATGGACCGCTGGAGCATAATGTGTGACGATCTGATGCGGCCGACGTTCTGGAGGCCGCTGTTGATCTCGTGCGGGCTCATGTTCCTCTATAACATGACGGGCGTGGCCAGTGTCACTCTCTACGGCATGGAACTCTTCGCTGAAATATCCAGCGCCTACATCAACGTCGCGTACTTCATTGTTACAGTCGTGTTAATTGTTGCTATCACTCTGTCGGCTCTCCTAGTGGATCATATCGGACGAAAACTGCTTTTGTTGCTCTCCCTCACTATTATGGCAGCTTCAGCCTTTGTTCTCGGACTCTTCCTTTTCCTTAAGGACCTGCACAAAGTCGACAGCTACTTCATGTACCAGTGGGTTGCTGAGGTGTTCTGTGTAGTGCTGTTTACCTTCGCCCACGGCAGTGGTGTGGGACCCATCGCTTGGGTCACCCTCGGTGAGATATTCAGCCCACGGTACAAGTGGCTGGGAGTATCTGTGGCCTCCATGGTGTTGTGGTCTTCCATGTTGGCGGTGGACGTCCTATTTCACAAGATCCGCATCGCGGTGGCCACTGGTGGGATCTTCTGGTTCCACTGCGTCGTCTGCGTCGCCGGTTACATCTTCATCCTCGTCTTCTTCCGGGAACTGAAGGAGCAGCGCATCGACGATATTACAAAGTCCTTTGTCAAGAAGCACGATAGTTTAATTGAAACTTTCATTGCAAGAGTGTGAACGATTTTTCCATTTATGGCTGAATGTTGCGGTCGTGCAATCCTTTCCACCATGATTACGTCATGTTGATTACTTCAACAGTGGGATGAATATTGTTATGTTTCTTGTACATATTACAATCTACAAAGAATCACAAATCAAAACTGCCTTATATAATCGTAATTAGGTGTCGCTTTGGTCTTCACTCGTATTACTCTGCATGTCGTAACTCTGAATTTGTAAATAATGTAAATAGTATTTATCGAGATTGGTTGACATGCTTGGAGGAGTTAGGTTGACATGCTTGGAGGAGTTAGGTTGACATGCTTGGAGGAGTTAGGTTGACATGCTTGGAGGAGTTAGGTTGACATGCCTGGAGGAGTTAGGTTGATATGCCTGGAGGAGTTAGGTTGATATGCTTGGAGGAGTTAGGTTGACATACGTGGAGGAGTTGGATTGGCATGCGTGGAGGAGTTAGGTTGACGTGCGTGGAGGAGTTAGGTTGACGTGCGTGGAGGAGTTAGGCTGACATACGTGGAGGAATTAGTTTGAAATGCGTATAGGAATTAGTTTGATATGAATGGAGTCATATCTGTTCATTATCTATTATAAGACACGCATTAACAACAGGTTTCTTCGTCTCTTATCTCGCGAGGTCATCCCTAAACACAATCAACACAATTAACCAAAGGTACTTAATGAAATATAATAAATTTCCTGAATCATTTGTATATACAAAACGATATTACGTTTTCCAGTGGTAAAACTGGAATGGTTGGCTAAAGGAGTGCTCATCACTGTTAAATGGACAGTTTCCCTTGATTTAATGTTTTCCAGCACACTTTGGCAAGCTTCTGTAATGTAGTGTTTCTCGGCATGCTTTTGTGACAGAATGCTGCGTCATTGTTTGTAGCATGTGTGTGTGTTTGTGTCTAGCGGGAGCTGTGTCTGTTTCTAGGGTGTCTATGTCTTCGTTTTCACGTGGTGCTCTATCTTAGTTTGTGGGGGGGGGGGGGGAAGGTGTGTCTTTGTTTCTGGGGGTGTTGTGCTTTTGTTTTGGGAGTGGTGTGTCTTTCTTTCTGATGTATGCTGTGTCTTTCTTTCTGGAGGTGATGTGACTTTGTTTTTGGGGTGCTGCGTCTTTGTTTCTAGGAGAGCTGTGTCCTTATTTTCGGGGTGTTATGTCTTTGTTACTGGGGATGGTGTATCTTAGTTTCAGCCTCGATACTGAGACAAAAGATCTCCCTTTCTGGCTTATTTTTTGGTAGGCAGATAATCCTGCTACATTGCTTTCCTCATTATTTGGGTTTTACCATTCTCACTGGTCAGGTTCCACAGTGCAGTATTTCTCGCCGAACTCAACTTATCTGCCAAAGGTGGTGGTGTCCAGTGGCTGCAATGGTTGGTCCATGAGAAACAAAAGTTACCTGCCTAAAGTGCGCCCGCTCTCCACCTGCCTAAAGCATTAATGTATTATTTAATGCAAAGTGCTGAAAATGTACATACACTTTGGCCATAAATTAATATTCTTGTATGTGCTTCAGGGAGAAGTTAGTACATGATGGTGGTAGCCTGCCACACTAAAACAGAGACAACAACGTGACTGAAAGAAATAACCCAAAACACACAGACAGACACACGCACATATTCACACACACTCCCAAAATATTCTGGGACTTAGACTGAGTACCCACTTGAGCCACAGGGACGTTAGAAAGAACCTTTTCAGTGTCAGATTAGTTAACAGGTGGAATGCATTAGGCAGTGATGTGGTGGAGGCTGACTCCATACACAGTTTCATATGTACATATGATAGAGCCCAGTAGGCTCAGGAATCTGTACATCAGTTGATTAACGGTGTGTGTGTGTGTACACTCACACACACACACACACGCACACACACACTCACACACATACGCACACACATACGCACACATACGCGCACATGCACACCCACGCACACACACACACACACACACACACACACACACACACACACACACACACACACACATACACACACACACACACACACACACACACATACACACACACACACACACACACACACACATACACACACACATATGAAGCGAAAGTAACAACGTTTCGATCCATCCTAGACACTTAACGTGTCATGTGTGGATTGAGTTATGTACTTGCACACTTGGGCTTAAAGTACACTTATCAGTATTATCTACGTGAGTGTTGAAGGTCCCAGAGTGAGAGGCCCAGGTGGCTCGTTGTGCTTGTTAATATACCTTGATATTCTCCTTGTTAATTTGTGTAAAATTTTTGTATACATAATGTTGTGTTGTCATTGGTGATATTTGTTAATATCTTTGTGAATTATAATTTATTGAACTCGCAAGATTATGTTCTGTAATCTACTAGAGAGCAATATTAAAAGGAAACTTAATGGCATTTTATTAGACATATTGTATTACCCTAATGTCAGGAAAATGTCAAGAAAATCTTTCTTGTAAACTCAGACATCATACGGTGAAACTCATGTAAAGTGCCGCTAAAATTCATCTTGTGCGTGAAGTAGGTACATTGATTTTATTTCTGTCCTATCCCAAAGCCTTGTCCTGATCCCTTCCAAGTGCTATATAGTTGTAATGGCTTGGCGCTTTATCCTGATAGATCCCTACCCCTTTGACTTTATTTATGTCTATATCATATCTGTCATCTTATCTCCTTCCGGAAAAAGAATTAATAATTTTTAATTGTGTAAGAAATGCTGTGAAATTGAAGCTTATCAAGCAAAATGAAATATATAAGAGCTTCACCTCCGTCAGCGACCCTCCAGCGACAGCGAGGTGCAGGGTGGTTGGAGGAGTGGAGAGATTAGCCGTTACTGACTCGCGCTGTAGTTTACCTCCTGACTATGTATGCGACGGAGCAGTGATACTTGTCTTACACGGCAAGTCAACTCAGAGGCACTCGAGGAGCGCTCAACACTAAATAATTCCCACTGCAGTTATTAAAGAGAAACAGCGGTACATAAACACACAGGACCTCGTAACTGTGCCAGCGAGATGTGTGTGTGTGTCTAGAACAGACCTAACTGTACTCCAACGAACACTTGTTAGAACACTTCGTTAGACTGCAAGTTGCCGCTGTATATACTGCGGCCGAGTTATGTGGTCATTTAAAGTGTGTGGTTTTACGAGGAAACTTGTCAGAAAGGTTCACCTCCATAATAACGGTAGGTGTGAGAAAGAAAACGGAGGGTGTAGACAGTATGAAAAGTATGCGGCAGATGGCGGGCGGGCTGATGACAGCACTGACGGACCCACATGTAGTCCCCTAGTTGTGCTTGTGGGGGTTGAGCTGTGGCTCTTCGGTCCCGCCTCTCGACTGTCAATCAACTGGTGGAAGATGTGTTCTAGTGGTCGAAGGACTTCATTCATAAACCGGATCAACTCAGCTGGATGGAATGAAATTACCATATATATTTGGGCACTTTGAGTCAACACATCTTAACGTTGCTGGCGGCTCTAATATTCCCTTCACACACCCTTATTGTGTACCAACCTATAAAACAATAATATCTTAGTTTCACAACGAAACATATTTCAAAACATCATATATTAAAACTCTTAAATCGGACCTTCCGGTGCTGCACAATGCTCTAAGGTTCACTGAAGAGAATATACAAATCCTCGATACACAAGGATGATGACGTCAGCCGAATGCTTACGGGGGATGACGTCAATGGAATTCCTATATGAGGATGACGTCAGTGGAATGCTTACGGAGGTCAGGACGTCACCGTCAACTGTGAACCGTATGTTGTGAAATATTTTCGTCGCCACCTTAATTAGTTTTATCAGGAGACAGGCAGCCTGTGTATATGTATACGTTAGGCTTATATCGAGGCCCCCCCCCCCCTTAAAAAAGCTATTGAACCTTTGCTGCACTCCACAGCTGTGACTAACTCCCGGGCACCTATTTACTGCTAGGTGAATAGAGACATTAGGTGAAAGGAAACGGTCCCAATCATTTATGTTTCGTCCGGGATTCCCGTTCGTGAGTAGTGTACTCCGATGTTCTCAGGTGTGCTCATGTGTACTCTGATGGTCTCATGTGTACTCTGATGTTCTCATGTGTACTCTGATGGTCTCATGTGTACTCTGATGGTCTCATGTGTACTCTGATGCTCTCATGTGTACTCTGATGCTCTCATGTGTACTCTGATACTCTCATGTGTACTCTGATGCTCTCATGTGTACGCTGTTACTCTCATGTGTACGCTGATACTCTCATGTGTACTCTGATACTCTCATGTGCACGCTGATGTTCTCATGTGTACTCTGATGTTGTCAGGTGTGCTAGGTGTAATCTGATACTGTGTAACACAACACCTGGGTGTTGTGAGGTGTGTCAGTGACGTTGACCACTCGTGCTACAGGCGGCCATACGGACTGGCAGGGAAAATAATTATATTGTCATACAGTTTTCACCTCGGTCTTCAGTTCCTCGCGCTCTCCTTTCGTGGTGTCAATTGTCTTCCCGTCGCCCGGCTCGAAGGGAAGACAATTGACGACACCGCTAATACAAATAAACAGAGGGTTTGGCGGGTGGATTAACGAGCAATTGGTCATTGTTGATGAGGACGGGTTGATTAGACCGTTTATGAGCTCCTAAGCACTACGAGAGTGTTTATAACAACAATAACACTGGGTTGTGAAGTATCGAAGCTCATCAACTGTTTAATAAATTTAAAAAAAGTTGCTATGATTAAGGAATGATGTACAGGTTCTGCAAGTGGATGTGTAAATGCCCAATGAGCCCTGACACTTGAGAGACCAAAGTACTCCTGGCTTAGGATATGCAATAGTGTCTTGAAAAAAGTAAGTAGAATGAGAGAATCTTTGGAACAGTGTGATGGAATCGAACTCGTATCCTGGGACACACTGCAGCCTCCTTCAACAAGCATGGTGATAAACTAATTTTGTCTTAACATCCACAGCGACTACTATGTCATTCAGTGTTACCTCTGGCATTGCATCTCTTAACTCTGGTCTCCATGAATGATCCTTTGTAAAGACCTCCCGAAATCGTTTATTAAGTTCTTCACATACTTCCTTGTCATTTTCCGTGAGGAATCCACCTAGACTCTTCAGCCTGATCATTATATCACTATAGACCAGCTGTGATTGGTCCTTAGCTCTCGCAATAATGTCTTCAAATTGGTTCCCAGCTTTCCTCTTGACTCTGGTAGATACTTTTTTGGCTTTCTTTAGCGTTTCTCTGTTGTCCACCATTCCTAGTTCTCTGCACTTTTTCCATACTTTTCCGGTTCTCTTCTTTGCTTCCCTGCATTGCCCATTGACGGGGTTTATTTTGTTTTCCTCGTCCCCTCCCCCCTTCCTCTCTCTTGAGTGGGCTAAACAGCTTCATTGTATCTGTACATTTCAGAGCAACGAATTCCATTATTTCATTTGTCATTTCCCTTCCAGTTCGCTCCCTATTGGACTTCACCCAGATAGTCCCTCACCTTCTTGTAATCCCCACGGCTTTGAAGAAGAAGAAGACTTCTTCTTCAAACACATTGAAGAAGAAGACTTCTTCTTCAAACACATTGAAGAAGAAATCTTCTTCTTCAATGTGTTTCTTGATGTAACCAACTCCATTATCTCCATTATGTCTTGGCAAAATAATGCAGTGGTTGCTAGCTCCAATGGGCCACTAATACTCTAGCATTTGATACTTGCCTCATTTTGGGTAAACACCATGACTTGTGTTTCTGGTGGGTACCTGCTTGATGGGGTTCTGGGAGTTCTTCTACTCCCCACGCCCGGCCGAGGCCAGGCTCGACTTGTGAGAGTTTGGTCCACCAGGCTGTTGCTTGGAGCGGCCCGCAGGCCCACATACCCACCACAGCCCGGCTGATCCGGAACTTCTCTTAGAAAACAGTCCAGTTTTCTCTTGAAGATGCCCACGGTTGTTCCGGAAATATTTCTTATAGTCGCTGGGAGGACGTTGAACAACCGCGGACCTCTGATGTTTATACAGTGTTCTCTGATTGTGCCTATGGCACCCCTGCTCTTCACTGGTTCAATCTTGCATTTTCTTCCATATCGTTCACTCCAGTACGTTGTTATTTTTCTGTGTAGATTTGGGACCTGGCCCTCCAGTATTTTCCATGTGTATATTATTTGTATCTCTCGTCTCCTTTCTAGAGAGTACATTTGGAGAGCTTTGAGACGATCCCAATAATTTAGGTGTTTTATCTCGTCTATGCGTGCCGTATATGTTCTCTGTATTCCCCTCTATTTCATCAATCTCTCCTGCTCTGAAGGGGGAAGTGAGTACTGAGCAGTACTCGAGACGGGACAACACAAGTGACTTGAAGAGTACAACCATTGTGATGGGATCCCTGGATTTGAAAGTTCTCGTAATCCATCCTATCATTTTTCTGGCTGACGCAATATTTGCTTGGTTAAGCTCCCTAAACGTTAGATCGTCGGACATCATTATTACTGTCAACCACTCAACTGTCAATCAACTGATGTACAGGTTCCTGAGTCTATTGGGCTCATTCATATCTATACTGTGTATGGAGTCTGCCTCCACCACATCACTTCCAAATGCATTCCTTTTATTAACTACTCTTAACGCTAAAAAAATAATTTCTAACGTCTTTATGGTTCATTTGGCCACTCAACTTCCACCTGTGACCCGTAGTGCGTGTGCCCCTTGTGTTAAATAAACTGTCTT